ATAAAATTCTAATTAATCATGTATATTACCTTAAAAAAATTTTTGAATTATTTGATGAACATTTTCGCGAATATAATAAAACAAGTAAAAAAAATGCTCCACATTATTTGATAAATTTATGGTAAGTACAAGAATAAACAGTTACAAATTTCACGCCACATTACTGGGTAAACCATTTTTATGGGTGTTAAGTATAAATAATAACATTTATTACAACTTGAAAAATAATTCATAAGCAAATTTTATAATATCATATCACCACATATTATTGACTATGGCATAGCCTAATTTGCCAATAATAATGATAATGTGTATATAATATCATATTTAGTATACATATCTTGACTGTGGCAGAGCCTAACTTGTCAAGAATAATAGTAATATATATATATTTTTGACTGTGGCAGAGCCTAACTTGTCAAGAATAATAGTAATATATATATATATATATTTTTGACTGTGGCAGAGCCTAACTTGTAAAAAATAATAGCAATATGTATATATATCCTTGACTGTGGCAGAGCCTAACTTGTCAAGAATAATGGTAATATGTATATATATCCTACCTTTCTTCACCGGGTAGAGCGTTCGTGCTAATAACGTATTATAAAATGCGGGGAATATAAAGAACACAATGTATAAAAACCGGATATAAACTGTAACAGACTTTCTTTCACTTTTCTTTTTCGTACAAAATCACGATGGTTCTCTTGCCTTTTATAGGCAAAGTCATGCACGCACTTCTATACATACACACATTACAATGTATTGTGATAAGATAATGTAAATAAAATTTACTAGTGGTAATTCCACTTTTACATAACAGAACCCGATTTGATGGCTATTTATATCATTTTCTTTTTTTTTTGTATGATACTTTTATTTTTTCCAAGCCCCACAACTCATATTTTTATCCTTAGGGCATGTCTGTAAATATCTTGAAAAAAACTAATATTACTTTTAGGATAAATATCTTGAAAAAAATGCAGTATATTTTTTTTTATGAATATGTAGCTTATATTTACCATTTAGTGTAAATTATAATTAGTTGATTTTATTAATAACTATTATATGATAGAATAAATAATAAAATATGATTACATTTAATTAATATAAAATATAATGATTTTATCACAAAATTGAACATTTGGGAGGTGAAAATTTTATCATGTGCATTAGCCCAAATTATATAGAAATAGATATATACAAATTAAAAAAAAAAAAAAACTTAGTAACGTATTTTTAGAGGGAAAACTATTGAAGTTTTATTAATTGCTTTGCTAGCAATTACATATATATATGGTGAGTTTTCTAGTTAATCGGGGTTAATTTTGAAAAAAATAAATTATATGGTTAGTTCTTAGTGAAATTTTTATTTTATATTAAAAAAATATATAAAATAAAATAATTAAAGTTGATTTGATGTTAAAGTAGGAGAGAGATGATTTAGAGTAATAGTCAATTAAAATTATGCGAGTTGATGGATAGCAAATTAAAGATGATGTGATGTGTAAAAATGATTGGCTGATTTTGTTTAATTATATTGATACTATTAATGATTGTGAAGTCGAGTTAAAGTTGAGATAGACTTTAAGTATGAATTAAATTATTTGATATACAAACACACCTTTAGATTTGTGCATCTTAAATTTTACAATTTTATCCTCCAAAAAGTTGGATATAGTTCCAAAAATAACCTCAAACACCTCCATTTTTATAAAACATGTCAGTATTGCCCTTTTCTCTCTTATCAACCTCACGCAGCGGTAGTCAAATCTAGTTGAGGTCCTTTCTCATTCCTGGGTAATTGTTTTATTTTAGATCTGGTTTAATTAAGCGTAGGTCTATGTGCCGACCACAAACGATTACAATGATAGAACATTAATTTAATTTGTAGCATTGATTCGAACTTGCAATTCGCGCAACATCACCTATGCGTGCTTGCTTCCCATTTCTCATGTATATACAAATGATGATGGTTGTTGCTTAGTATATATGTTATGTATATGTATATGTCATCATGTTGAAGTACAGTTTTCTTTGGTATTTTCTCGCCAGCATAGATGCCTATGGATAAAGAGAGGTGGATTTAGTAAATTTAATTGAGGTGGTGATTAGTATGATTAAGGTTGGTGCATTTGTATAGAAAAGTATTTCGTAAATTCGGACGAACCACCACCATCACTTTGGCGGATCTAGACATGACCACGTGCCGTCCCGATCTCGACCCGGACCGTAGGTTGCCAGTTCTGAGAATCGGCACCGTAGCTTTAAGGGTCGTGTCCGGGTCCTCCTTTTTTTCTCTGTCCCGGTGGTCCGGGACCGGGTCAGGCCCTATCCGGGTCCTCCTTTTTTTTTTTTTTTTTTGTCCCGGCGGTCCGGGATCGGGCCGGGACAGGGCCGGTTCCACGGGCCGACCCTTGGTTTTTTGCGAGTTTGTTAAGGGTTACCCATGTGAGGCCTGACGGGCAGGGTGGAGCGGCGTCACGGCCCGTTGACTGGCCACCTCTAGGCGGATCCCATTCAATACAGTTGCACTACGAGGTAGAACAAACAAATCAAATTCCATTTTACGCTTAACTAGTGCATAAGCAAATCATTGTGATCGGCAGCTCTGCCCAGCAGAGGCCGCCACTGTGGATAGAAGTGAGAATTCAATATCTTCACCCTTCTTACTTGCAATTCGAAATCGTTTCTTATCATGCTTCCCTTCGATCTCAGAAACTCCGAGTTTTCTTTTGCTGGAATATAAGTGTTGTGAAGATGAAATACTAACATGAGCTCCAGTCAGTCCCCTCCTACTGATATCTGTACAACGTTGTTTTCTTTTCCACACCCGATGAGATGCAAAATTCACCGCCTTCGTGGGGCATGAACTCGTTTCCTTTAACTCACCGGCTGGGGTAGACTCCACTAGCATACCTTCTGGTGGCGAAAGTACCCGCAGAAAGGAACAAACCTCCTGGACCTGGATAACTGGTTTGATAACAAGGTGCGGGGGAGATTGACTTCCCGCAGAGTCTTTTGAGATATTATCTTGTTGGTTATGTCCAATGTCCTGAAATTGCCCTTCTCTTTCGACACTTGGAGTACTATGCTGTTGAGAACTCGATTTCTGCTTGTTTGAAAACTTCTGCTTATTGTTCTGTTTTCTGCTGTTAAGAGGACTTGCTCGGAGCCAATCTCCAAACCTTCTTGCAGATGTGGAAAGAGTCCTATCATGGTTGGTTGGACACTCACAAAGCCGGTGACCAATACCCGCATTCGAAACAAAAGTCTGGTAATTTTTTTATATTGAATAGGAATTGTAAACTCCTCTAGCAAAGCTTCCAAAAAAACCCGCAGGCCCCTTCACAGAGGTTTTGAACGCAAAAACTCTATGGAGCCATCGGATTGTTCTTTTATGGATCCATCCATTACTTAATATAGTGACACCTGTCTAAATTGTATTTATTGTAGGACACGTGTCAATGCACTATTGGTGATTAAGTATGAATTGTTCCATAAACCGAGCCATCCGATGGCTTCATAGTAAAACTATTTGAAACGTCCATCTTAACGCGGACCCTAGGTGTAAGGCCATCCAGGTCAATAGCCAACACCTCACCTAGCATACTTCCCACCATTTCAGTGCATTTTTCAGTCCAACAAACAAACGGCAAATTGAGGATGTGAATCCATCGCGATTTTGCCGTCGCAACCTCGACCGCAAGCATGACCACCGTAGACGTTGGCGTCGAGCGAGGACACACCGATCTTGAATTTTTAAGTTGGAGGAAATTACAGATCTTCTGAGGTCGTCACTATCGTACAACGTCAGTTTCCTATTTTTCATTTTTTTCGCCGCTCTAATTAGGGTTGCACAAGGTAATTTAACGCCCCCATTTTCATTCTGATTTTTCGTTTGTCTCTATGCGGATTGTAGGACTGTGCGAATTTTTGTTCAGTAAGGCAGTTTACGAAAGGATTTCGTGTATGGTAATGCTCGTTAATCGATCAAAGTGTCCTTAATCGGCATGCCGTTAGAACACTTTATTCGGATAATAAAATAAAATTATGGTTGAGCTATTTTGAAGTATGGCTTAACTTCAGTTCTTTTTCTTTCCTGATTATGAAGCTTTTTCTCTATAATGGCAAGCAAGGATCATTTGTCATGAGTGCCCAAAAATCACAATTCTCCCCCCATTCAGCTCTAGTTACATTTTTGTACTGTGTTGTGTTTATTTGTTGTAACGCATTGTCTGTGATGCCCCAGAAGCATTCTAATTGAATTGTCTGGACTAAAGGTGAAGGCCGGGACTTATTCATGACAAGCAAAGGCCGAGTTCCTCCTCCCCACCTCCGCCACCCGCTCAACCCGGGCCCTGCCTCGATCCACCCCGACCCATACCCGCCCGCCGGGCAGCGGCTTCCCGCCCTTTCAAATGCTGCCCCCTAAACAGATGATGGCTCACAAGCTCTCCACGCAGCACGTGGAGATCGAGAAGCTCGTCACGGAAAACCGCAGGCTGGCAGCCACTCATGGTAATCTCCGGCAGGATTTGGCCGTTGCCAAGCATGAAATTCAGTCGGTGCATGCCCACATTGCGGAAGTGAGGGCTGAGAAAGAGCGGCAAGCAAGGAGCATGCTGGAGAAGATGGCGGCCATGGAGAAAGAGCTTCAGGCTGCTGAGCCCCTGAAAAAAGAGCTGCAGAAGCGCGGGCCTGAAGATGATGATAGATAAAATGCGAGTCCTGAATCGAGTATATATGTAAAATTAAACCCACCCCTGACTTAAGGCAAAAATTAAATCTTGGATCCTGATATGCAATTATCCCATCTTTACCCTTTAGTACCCCACAGGGGGGGATTTGATTATGTCAAAAAGGCTTGCTTCTTGAATTTCAAATTCTATTTGCCTTTTTAAATAAAGGTGTAATGTTTATTGGATTTGACGTGCAGGGCTACTTATGACTATGAGAAGAAGTTATACAACGACCACCTTGAATCTATTCAGGTGATGGAGAAGAACTATATGTCAATGTCAAGGGAGGTGGAGAAGCTGAGGGCAGAGTTAACTAATTCAACAAACATTGACCCAAGAACAGGTGTTAGATTATATGCAGATCTAATTCCGTAATCTTGTGTCTTTTAGCTTTGCTGTCGTTTTTTACTTCCTAATCAATTGTGTATTATAATTCTAATGCAGGTGCGCCCTACAGTGCCCCTGCTGGATACAATGAAGGTCTTCCTGCGGGGAGCTATCCATCCGGTCAAAACGCCTATGGTACAGTTCAGGTATATACAAATACAAGTAATACGAGATTGATCGATAAGTTTTTCACATGGAATGCCCTGAGGTAATAAATACATAACAGGTATCATAATTTATCTTTCGCAATAAGAACGTACCTCAGTAATCCGTCCCGACATCCAATGCTTTAATTTTATGTTGATTTTGTGAACAAAAGCTGGAAAACTATTGCATTTTCTAGAAAAGTCAACAAATTCTCCAGGTCACTTGTGTTAAAAATTTTCCAATCATGGCATTCATTTCTATGAATTACCTCTTATTTGTTGTTTATTTTTTCCTTTTTTCCTTTTTTTTTTTTTGATTTGATCACACAGTATCCAACATGTGTTAATGGAATATGCTTTTGCATTGGATTTCTGATGGTGTTGAGTATGTATGCAAATAATGAAAATTGAAATGATTCAAAATTGTCTACTTTTTTAAGGATATACAAATTTTAGGTGAAACGGTCTAATCGTTAAGTGGGTCGATTGGGTGATTATGTATACATAATCAGAAGAGTGAAACAAGACACCCACGCCTTGGAATTTGACTCTATGTTTTCAATCCTCTCAAATTCAAAATCTCGATCCTTAATAGGAGAGAATTGGAGTAGGAATAATACGGAAACCAACGAAAACAAGAAGCACATGCTAGAATATTTGAATGAAACGAGTATATTGCATTGGATAGTGCCTTCACACAACAAATATTTCAACAATAAACACTTCATTATATATATTGGATAGTGCCTTCACACAACAAATATTTCAACAATAAACACTTCGTTATATATATTCTTGAGTGTACTCAGCGTAAATGATATGTTTGTATATTTTGAAATCTTATTTGTCACATTTTTAAGTCTTAGATTGATACATAATTAAGTTCGGATGTCATGTCAAATGTCAATTAGGCATGGTTATTTCAGTGATACATTAAATATTTTTCTTTATTGAAAGGACTTGCACATGGTCTTTATCGACCTTGAGAAGGCTTATGACAGAGTACCGAGAAATGTCATGTGGTGGGCCTTAGAAAAGCACAAAGTCCCAGCTAAGTACATTACCCTCATCAAGGATATGTACAAGGATGCAATGACGAGTGTTCGAACATGTGGGGGCGATACCAGCGACTTCCCAATTAAAATAGGACTACACCAGGGGTCAGCATTGAGCCTTTATTTATTTGTCTTGGTGATGGATGAGGTCACAAGGGACATACAAGGTGATCTGCCTTGGTGTATGCTCTTTGCTGATGATGTGGTGCTAGTTGACGAGAGTAGGGTCGGGGTAAATAGGAAGTTAGAGCTGTGGAAGGACACGTTAGAGTCGAGAGGCTTCAGACTTAGTAGGACGAAGACCGAGTACATGACGTGCGCTTTCAGCATGGCTACTCATGATGATGGTGATGTTAGCCTTGACGGGCAAGTGGTGGCCCAGAAGGAGACTTTCCGGTATTTAGGATCGATGCTACAAAAGGATGGCGGCATTGATGAAGATGTTAGGCATATAATCGGTTGGTTGAAATGGCGTCAAGCTTAGGGCGTTCTCTGTGATAAGAGGGTGCCACAAAGGCTAAAAGGTAAGTTCTATAGGACGGCAATTCGCCCGACGATGCTATACGGTGCTGAATGTTGGCCTACAAAAAGGCAACATGCCCAACAACTAAGTGTAGTAGAGATGCGGATGTTGCGTTGGTTTTGCGGGCACACAAGAAGGGATAGAATCCGAAATGAGGATATTCGTGATATGGTCGGGGTGGCTCCAATTGAGGAGAAATTGGTTTAACATCGGTTGAGGTGGTTCGGACATGTCCAACGGAGGCCTCCCGATGCACCGGTGCGTAGGGGAGTTCTACAGCGGGCCAATGTTGTTAAGAGAGGTAGAGGTCTGCCTAAACTCACTTGGGAAGAGTCGGTTCAGAGAGACCTTAAAGATTGGAATATCTCCAAAAATTTAGCGGTGGATAGGAGCGCTTGGAGACTAGCGATCATCGTGTCGGAACCGTGACTTTTGCTCTTTTCTCTTTTGCTCCAATCTTTTATTTTTTTATTTTTTTTTTATTTTTTTTTACCACTGTTTCTATTGGGTTTCATTTCTAGCCTACCCCAACTTGTTTGGGACTAAAAAACTTTGTTGTTGTTGTTGTAAAACAATCACTATTTATTTAATTATTTTTTTTCTTTCATAGTTACTACAATACTTTTTTTTTTTATCTCATCTTCTACTATTACAGACCATCATTTAAATCAATCATATTCATTTATTTCTCAATCTTTTTCAATATTCCCATATTACTCATTTTGAATATGAAGTAATAGGATATTATTCTTTTAAAAATAATATTTGGTAAAAATTATTTGATATGCTGTCAATTTAATAAAAATAAATAAATAATTATGTAAATGAGTAAATTACATATAAAGTTAAAAAAACATATAATTTGGCGTTCAAATTCTAAAATTATATATGGTTGTTTAATTATTTTTATTAAAAGAAATAAAGTTTGATAATTTAATTAAAAACAAATTATTTTAGTTTTAAATAAAATTAAAATAAAAACTTTAATATTTATTATATATACATCGTAACTCAACACACGGGTATTAACTAATATTACAAGAATTTTTAAACAATCATACTCCAATAATTAAAACAAAACAATATACAACACATCGGATTTATACCATACGTTTGCACGCGCACACCAAGTGCATGTTAGATTAAAATAGAGAGTTAAAAAAAAGGAAACTACTACCGTCTCGTTAAAGGAATGGTTCCGTAAATTATCCATATCTTAACGGGACCTTAGTATAATAAGAAATAAAAACAAAAAAGGCCAACGAGCCCTTTACATTCGAGATTTCGAGTCCTATCAAAACCCCAAAACCCCAAATTTGAAATTTTCATTTTCCTGGCAGACTTCCAAAATCCCCTCACAGAGCATCCATGGAAGACGACTCGCTCCAACATCTTCATCTCCGTGAGTTGAACTTTCATATCTCTGAAGATTTTCTGTGTTCATCTCAATTTTCGACTCAATTATTCGTAAGCTCTCCAGAGATGCACTCACAAAATTTCTCAAATCAACCTTTTATTTCTGTTGATACTATTTCAACAGAATTTGTGAGTTTCCCGGTGAAAGAAATGGAATCGGTCATAGCTACAGTGACCGGATATCAAGGCTCCGAGAGATTCAACCTCATAAAGTTGATTTCTCACGCCGGCGCCAGTTATGTTGGAAATATGAACCCTTCTGTTACTCATTTGGTGAGGGATTTTAGATTCATATTCGTGTTTGGATCTGTTGATATTGCGATCTTAGGTGTTTGTGAAAATACATTTCCCCTTGATTTACCAGTTTGACTGATTGCGCTGTTTAGGTGTGCCGGAAATTTGAAAGAAGGAAGTATGAGATTGCGAAGAAGTTGAACATGGTGATAGTTAACCATAGGTGGATTTGAGGAATGTGTGAAGAAGGGAAGGCGTGTGTTGGAGAGACCTTACACCTTTCGGAGGTATGTTGAGTTGTGAAATCCTTTTTGTATGATTATTTCCTTTTTCTGCCAATACGACAATATAGTGAGCTATGTAGTACAAAATGTTGGTTTTGATTGAATTGTGTGTCTTCTTTCACAAGTTATGATAAGGTTAGACACTCTATAGGAGTGGTATTTCTGGTGAGAAAATTTTAATTATATGGTGATGTTTTTCTTTTTGTTTCACTTTCTTAATCCATTTTGTGAATACTAAGGATGTCGTATGGAAAAAAAAAAGTCCACTGTGAGACACAAGCAGGAAGTAGGAACACCATGAGAATCTGCCAAACTAAAAGAAGTGTGTTATTGTATCTTAATTTTGGAATGTATTCAATGTTTCTGATTCGGTTCGTACATTTGCATTGATACCATGTGTAAGGCTTCCTTCTAGGTACTCCACTTATAAAGTTGTTTGGAAACTTCTAATGGTAGCAGGTCTTTTCTGCAGAAGGTGGAAAATTTTCGATGCCTTGCAGTTGCCCAATCTATGTGGTTGAATTATGCCAAAGAAAATCCAAGATCCTTCAGTTGTTGCTTGAGTAGGAAATTTATGCTTGATTGGATCTACCATAGAAAATTTCTTTGGTCCAAGTATTTATGTGTTTTTTTCTTTCCCCAAATTTGATTTCTTGTAGTGGGAAAGAAGTTGGACCTCTGCTTTTGGAGCCCCCAGCTGGTATTCGTTTAGCTAAGTCCCACTCTGAAGCATTGAAGAAATCTAAACAACCTGTGTTTGATATTGACTGTGAAGACACCAGTAATGTTGCTTGGGTGACTCCAATTCTTGCTGATGAGGTTGCCATCTGATTTTAATATGTTTTAAATAATTCTCAACGTTCTTTCTTTTATCAATCCTACTTGATATACATTTATAGTCCTTCTCATTTTAGTGTGTAGCTAGTTTTTGGTGATATGCTTTCTTGTCTACTTTACCACAAACAGATTAAGGCTACACCACAATTCCCTCGGTAAATGTTGCATTTTATCATTAGTGTGCTCCAGTAATGTTGCTTGGGTGACTCCAATTCTTGCTGATGAGGTTGCCATCTGATTTTAATATGTTTTAAATAATTCTCAACGTTCTTTCTTTTATCAATCCTACTTGATATACATTTATAGTCCTTCTCATTTTAGTGTGTAGCTAGTTTTTGGTGATATGCTTTCTTTTCTACTTTACCACAAACAGATTAAGGCTACACCACAATTCCCTCGGTAAATGTTGCATTTTATCATTAGTGTGCTTATGCTATTTCTTATGGTGTTGATCTTGATTAATTATCATTTGCTACTCCGTGAATAGCTCGAGGAAAGAGGCACTTCCAAGGCTGCAAATTCTTCTAGAGTGAAAAAACGGAGTTCCACTTCACTCAAATCTCAGGGCAAGGCTCGGAGACTTGTTAAAGAGCATATCAGCAAAAAGGATGAATTATTGACTTCAAGCATATTGGTAGACCGTGAGGAGAGAAAAGCATTAACCAGGAACATACAGCAGCATATATCTGCCTGTATGATAGTTCAGACTCTGATATGCACCGACATTTACCCGATAAAAGCGGTTCTATTAGCAGGCAAGTGTCATGACACTGATGCCTTTGATGACGTTGAAGAGGTCCGGCATGCAAATAATGAAAATCAGAATACAAGTATCCGTAGTGCTCCATCTTTTCCACCTCAAACTTCAGATAAAAATCCTGAAGCTGATTTTGTGGATTCTATTGATGATGCTGGTAAAAGAGTGGCCGCACCAAGTGAACTGTCATGTGTTATATGCCGGACGGAGTTCAGTGCCACCCGTGGGGTATGTCATGTGGGCACCGATTTTGTTTCCACTGTATCCAGAACTAGGCAGATCATATGGTATGCAATTCTATCTGTATTTTAATTAAAATATCCTGTTACATTTTCTACAGATTGTGTTTTATTGTAGTTTATAATTTGTAATTCTGAACATGCTGGCATGCATTTTTATCCAGGAGATTTGCCAAAACGACGTGATTTTGGCGAGCATCAGAGCGTGGATGGTCGAAAGATCGTCGTGTTGTAAGTTTTATCATTTTCTCTTCATTCATTGTCCTTGATATTTATATTATGAGCTCCTAATAGTTTATGTTTCTTAGTGTAAATAGTACAGAAAAAAAATGTTGATTTTAAAATATTCCATCCAAATCACTCAACTTTTGAAAAAGATACGAAAGAAGACAATTATTGTACTTTGTATTACTAAAGTTTTGCACAAAACAACCAAAACTTGTCTTATTGAGGCAAAACAAACTCATTTTAATCGTACTATTGTGATTTCACTTTCATATTGAGTTTGAAGATATTGCTTACGATTTGAGTTAATTGAGAATGCATTTTTAGATGATCACAATAGTACTATTAAAGTGAAATATACCAACTACAATAAAAAATCCAGCAAGGCAACATCCATATAAAAAACCCAACAACAGATCCACAATACCAAAATACCATTAACATTCAAATTTGAGTTTAAACAAAAAGCATTCTCAGATGTACCCAAACAGATTACCAAGCTCCACGTACGAGCATCCTTGCACCAACTTCATAGTTCCATGCACAATAGATATCAGCAAAGATAATATACTCGTAGCCGAGATCACCCCAACGATGCCCCAGCTGTTAAGCACCTCGAAGAAAAGAGTTTCGTCACGCCTCACCTCATAACCAGTGAGGAGAGATGCATGGAAAATTCTTTACCCTTAGAGTCATATTGCAGTCGCACCTGTGGCCCAAAGATTTGATGTCCCGTGGCAAAACGAAATCCGGCCCTCAGCCGATATACCACAATGAGGGGTCGCCGATGTAAGGCCCTCAGAAGCCTCGGGGCAAACTCCGGCTCCCAATACTTAAGCAAATCCATCGTGTTGGGAACTTTGGTCAGAAGAGGCATTGTATACCTCTGTGACTCCCAAAATTGAACAAACTTTTGATGGTTGGGGCTTTCTACATCGTGCAGGCCATAGAAACTTAGGTATGGAACCCCATGGTTCTCTAGAAAAGCCTCAACAGCTTGATTCCAAGCCCGCTGATTTCTTGACAGTTGGTTGAGAAGTTGGGGCTAAAGAGTCGATTACATAGGAAGGGGATAGTCTTCCTACGGCAGCACGAAACTCAGGCTCTAATTTCATCTTGACCATGGTCTCCATATAAGCGAGTTCCGCGAACAACCCACAGGTATCTGAAAAGAGATTTATACGAGCAATGATTATTAAACCCAAATGCCCAATACTAATTTAAACCCTAAAAATATAATTATTAAACCCAAAGGCCCAATACTAATTATTAAACCCTAAAATATAACTATTAAACCCAAATGCCCAATACTAATTTAATACTACTAAGCCCAAATATGATAGTTGTTAAACCAGAGTTGTAGAAAACATTCTTACTAGTCGTTAGCTGATCTTTTGGAAACGGCAATAGCTCTTCATCGATTATCCTCCATGAAAACCTTAAACCTTACATCCGTAACCAAGCATATAACCCAGAGATTCACCTATCTTAATTGAAGGGATTAATTAATTTTTTTAGTTATCAATCTCTGGGTGAATTAAGATAGGTGAATCTCTGGGTTGTCTGCTTGGTTACGGATGGAAGGTTTAAGGTTTTCATGGAGGATAATCGATGAAGAGCTATTGCCGTTTATTGCCGTTTCCAAAGGATCAACTAACGGCTAGTAAGAATGTTCTCTACAACTCTGCTTTAACAACTATCATATTTGGGCTTAGTAGTATTAAATTAGTATTGGGCCTTTGGGTTTAATAGTTATATTTTAGGGTTTAATAATTAGTATTGAGCCTTCGGGTTTAATAATTATATTTAGGGTTTAAATTAGTATTGGTCCTTTGGGTTTAATAATCAGTTGCTCGTATAAATCTGTTTTCAGATACCTGTGGGTTGTTCGCGGAACTCGCTTATATGGAGACCATGGTCAAGATGAAATTAGAGCCTGGGTTTCGTGCTGCCGTAGGAAGACTATCCCCTTCCTATGTAATCGACTCTTTCGAGCTCCAACTTCTCAACCAACTGTCAAGAAATCAGCGGGCTTGGAATCAAGCTGTTGAGGCTTTTCTAGAGAACCATGGGGTTCCATACCTAAGTTTCTATGGTCTGCACGATGTAGAAAGCCCCAACCATCAAAGATTTGTTCAATTTTGGAAGTCACAAAGGTATACAATGCCTCTTCTGACCAAGGTTCCCAACACGATGGATTTGCTTAAGTAGTGGGAGCGGGAGTTTGCCCCGAGGCTTCTGAGGGCCTTACATCGGCGACCCCTCATTGTGGTATATCGACTGAGGGCCGAATTTCGTTTTGCCACGGGACATCAAATCTTTGGGCCGGAGGTGCAACTGCAATATGACTCTAAGGGTAAAGAAATTTTCCATGCATCTCTCCTCACTGGTTATGGTTATGGGCTGAGGCGTGACGGAACTCTTTTCTTCGAGATGCTTAACAGCTGGGGCATCGTTAGGGTGACCTCGGCTACGTGTATATTACCCTTGCTGATATCTATTGTGCATGGAACTATGAAGTTGGTGCAATTATGCTCGTACGTGGAGCTTGGTAATCTGTTTGAGTACATCTGAGAATGTTTTTTGTTTAAACTCAAACTTGAATGTTAATGGTATTTTGGATCTGTTGCTGGGTTTTTTTTATTGTAGTTGGTATATTTGCATTGTTGGTTTTTTATATGGATGTTGTTTTGCTGGATTTTTATTGTAGTTGGTATATTTCACTTTAATAGTAGTATTGTGATCATCTAAAAATGCACTCTTAATTAACTCAAATTCTAAGCAATATCTTCAAACGCAATATGAAAGTGAAATCACAATAGTACGATTAAAATGGGTTAGTTTTGCCTCAATAAGACAAGTTTTGCTTGTTTTGTGCAAAACTTTAGTAATACAAAGTACAATAATTGTCTTCTTTCGCATCTTCTTCAAAAGTTGAGTGATTTGGATGGAATATTTTAAAATCAATATTTTTTTTCTCTACTATTTACACTTGAGTTTAATAAAAATGACTAAGAAGATGATGCGAAAGAAGACAATGAAAGAAGAGAAAATGATGAAACTTACAACACGACGATCTTTCGACCATCCACGCTCTAATGCTCGCCAAAATCACGTCGTTTGATCTGATAACTAGTTTGCGGGTTCTCAATCGTTTAGATGCTGGGGGATTATGTCAATCACGTTTGTGGTGTGCGCCGGCGGATCGACCCCGGGGTCGAAAGTTGCCGAGACGGGGTTGAGAGTAGCGAGAGATGGGTCTTCAGGCTCCATGGACACTTCTTTTTGTTGTATTCGCAATACATTTTTCTCATTAATTCTGAATAACCTAAATAAGTAATCTTTCTTCTTTCTCTCGCGAAAAAAATTGCCCGACACTACGCCTCTTTCTTCTGAATCGCGTTGCCTTCCTCGGTGCGGCGCCCGCCGGTGGTCGCTTTCGGCCGCCGTCCCTTCTTTACTATTCTGAACCTATGGTATTGTCGCGAGGTGCTTGCGTTCGAAGGTCTGCCTAACCCTAATTCGTCAGAGTCGCAACGATTGGTGGAGGCAGGCTCTTTGGTCGTCAATTGGACTGTAATTGGTGTATCCCGGTCTCGTTTGGAGGTGAGTTCCACTTCAATTTTAGCCTCTACTGTCTCTATATTTGTGCGAATAGAGGGCTTCGGGCGGTTCCTTTTTCCAGTGCCGCCCCATTTGGGATTCTCTCATTCGGGTGCCGGTGCCGGTGCCGGTGGTGTGCGGTGATGCTGAAGGGTTTGTGGGTTGCGAGGCAGGTTGGAGCTCCGCTTATGTGTAGGAGCTGAGGGCTCGAACCCTCCCCCTTTTCCGGCTAGTGGTGTTAGTCGATGGGGTTCTGGTGTTCCTTAGCTCGGCTAGTGGTGTTAGGCAAGCTCGGGAAGTGCTAGTGTGGGAGCGGGTTCTATTGTTCCTCCAGTTTAGGTGGGTTGTTTTGGAGTTAAGTTTGTGTTCGGGCTCGACTTCTTGTATAGGCCTTGTGGCAGTTTCAGGGGCTGTCTGGACTTGGACTAATCTCTGAAATCGACTATTCTCCGTTGGTTATGGCTGGCTGATTTGCCGTGGAACGGCCTTGTATGTATTTTTCTTTTGTTATGCTTGTTATGTGGTATGTTTGTTTTTTGGTTTGGGCCATTGGCCGCTGTATGCCCGAGTATAAACTTTATTACTCTGTTGAGGTCCGACACTTAGTATTACCCTGTTGGGGTCTGTGTTGCTTTTTAGTGTTTTTAATGTTTTGTAGTGTTCTTGAGTATTACCCCGTTGGGGTCGGTTCTAGGCGGTCTTTTGACATGTCCTCTCACTTTTTCAGCTATTGGCTGCTTGTATTCAGTTATTGGGTGTTTGTAGGTGGTTGTTCTTTGCACATTTGTGCGTTTTATATAAATATCTCTATCGTTTCGAAAAAAAAAACTAAATAAGTTATTTGTGTGTATAAATACATTAATACTATGTTCACATGGGTCAATTTTTAGGGAAAATGCAAAAATAAGGCAATGACATATATATATATATATACATATATATATAAGGAAAATTTTGAAAAGGAAAATATAAATAAAATTGTGACTCAATGCAGCACACTAGAAAAACATAAGACTATATTTATTGTCAACTTAACTCAACCCAACCCAATAATAAAAAATTATTTATCTCTCTTCCACTTACATAAAAACTTTTAACAACCTACATATCTTTATCCTCAACCCTTCCCAACCCATCATAATATTTATTTTATTTTTATTTATTTATTAACTAAATATTATCTAAAATATATTTTTTTGGTATTGTTTTATCTACAACCCAACGAAACATAATCATTTTAATTGTGCTTCAAAACATATCAATAGTGGTCTCTATTTATAGAGAACGAAAAAATATGAATTTTGATATTCTTTATTTTATTTTTTAATATAAAAGAATATCAATAATTTAGTTAAATT